CATTCGTTCTGATTGCGTTGAAGTTGAATAACATTTTCCAGTGTTACACTTTCAATCAGCAAACATTAACTATATCCGTATTTATTATAAAATTATTCAATTTTTCAATATATTGCTGTGAAAAAAATAAAGAAAAACTGTTTTTCTTTATATAACTTCAGAGTTTTTTATCAAATCAATTTGCAAGTTAGGAATAACCTTTTTGTGTTAAATGCCGCAATGTAGAAAATCTATAAAGCTTTTTGAGTTTGAATGTTACAAAAAAAAATAAATGACTCAATAACCACAAAGTATCATCAACAAGAAATCTAAATAGAAAATTCAAATGATCTTAATCTCTTTCGGGAATTAATTACTCAATCAATAATTCGTATCTGATTCGGTGATTTCAATCGATTATAATTTTAATTAATAAATTTCTAATCCCGACTTTGACTTAGTGGCTTACCGGCTTACGTATCTCAATACTGGCGTGATGATTAAAAAAATAGATTGGATTGGAAGATCTTTTATGCCGTAAAGAATGAATATACGACGTAGTAAACGTAGCAGAAGCTTGTTCGAGTGGATGATGCTGGGCCAATGGACCATGGCACCAGATTATAGGATTAACCAACGTACTATACAACGCACAGTGCAACGGTTCGGTTCATGAGTAGCTCGCGGGCTATCATTCACTCGGTCTCTGTTCTACTCCTCCCTAAACTCCGTTTTAATGTATATATATATATATATATATATATATATATATATATATATGTGTAGGTGCTTCCCCTTGACACAATGTATATTCGTATCCGAATAGTTGAATCCCCTTTTCCTCCTTCGTACCATAACGATCAATCTCTCGGTGTCTGTTACATATAATTGTACTGGTCTCTATGCATTCTCTCTGTACAGTCTTTGTGGAATTGACGATCCCTTGATAATTTAGAAAACATGTTTCACTTGTCTGCAGTCTCGTTCCAATAACAAAACAAATAAATCGATTCGATAAATATCTCCTATTTTTTGCAGCTTTAAAGAACATGCGACATTTAATTTACTTTTTTAAAATATAGCAATGGAATTTCTTCAACCTTTCTTTGTAAGAAGTTCGCTGTTCAACTTATCAGAAAGTGATTTTTGGTGGAAAGATATTTTTATATGGGTCGCTTCCGGCTTTGAAAACTTCCAGATCGAAATTGTTTGGAAAGAAATAAAAATTTAGTGTTACGACACTATGCGATTATTGTGGGGATAAATATATTTTTATATGAGAATCATTTCCATTATGCATAAAGCTAAGATTTTAAAAACACGTAATATAGAAACAATGGCTCGATTATTGCACACTCAACTTTGATTCTATCTAATCTTGGATAAATTATTCAGTCTTTGATAAGAACGTCAATAGATTCAGCATTATAATACCTGCTATGTTCAATTTTATATACATTTTATATTTTATTGGCAAGACTGAAACGTTTTATTGCTTTCGCAAATATTTTAGTTGTTAATCAACAAAACTAAGATGATTTTAAGAAAATTAATGATTATTAGAATGATTATTTTTGAAATAATAATTGGAAAACTCTACAAGACTTTGAAAAAATAAATCATGTAATTCCAAGTCATCAATCTTTCCCCTCAAAAAATAGTTTTTCAATAGCCACTTAAGAATCATCCCTCTAATTTTTCTTTATGATTAAGGGTAACATTGTCTATATCAAAGGTACAGCTCGATAGCCCCTAGCTTAAGTAATTAATCAAATTAATTATTTTTGAAAGAAGTTATATAAATATTCTACGGACAAAAAGAAGGGAAGAAAAATTCACTGATTTCTGAATTTTTATTGATCTCAATAATGCTAATGATAAATTTTATGGTTTGCAAAGCGTTCGACCTCCAGACAGAAAAGCTCCAAAGAACGTAATTATTTACGTGACAGTTATCAGATGGCGCAAGAGTAGTGAAATTCGTTGTATTCACGTATTCAATCAGGGAAATCCGGCGTTGAATGCAAATTGCATAGATTTCAGTTGGCGATTATTGTATCTCATCCTTTCTTTGATTCTCTCTCGGCTGGTAGCATCATTATGTGTTACGAGGTAAACCAAATTGTGTAATACACATGAAACAGAAACTGGGAACGAAAACCAGAGGAATGAATCAGATTTTATCGATTGCAATCGATGAAAAGAGTATTGAGTATCTGTAGAATTTCTATGCCATAATAACGGTGCAAACACTCCGATTTTTTTCGTTTTTTTGCATTGATTGGCGTTTTTCATTTTTTTTTTTTCTGTTTGTAAAAGTACTTGGGATCATAGGTGTTTTGACTAGATTGACACGATACCTACGAGCATGGTGTAAAGCTAACCAACAAAAAAACTTGGTCAAAAGGTCCGCGGTGGGTGCTTGAATTCTTTGAAATATTTCCTCTACACTGCTATTGTAGATTTATACTCACTCTGCGTATACTTTTAATTTACTTTTTTTTTTTTTTTTTTTTTTTTTTTTTTTTTTTTTACAAAAGCCAGACGAATGACCGAACCAGTTTTTCACGTTGTTACAATATTAGTACAATGGAATATATTTTTTTTCGAGAAAAATATGATATAGTTGTGATAAATACAAACTATGGTATTGTGAGAAAAAATATTTCACTATTCTAATAATTAAATTTTTTTTTTATCAGTTTTTCATCCTTTTGAATGCCAGATAGTCGTTGCCAATAATGCGGGAAAATTCAAGAGAATTTTTTCCACTTTTTCAAAGAAAGCATTCACTCCTTTTTTGTCGCTTTGTTTTTGTTCAAACATTCAAAGCCTCAGAAAGCCGTGAGAATGAGAAAGCTAAAAAGTGAGTCTGACCGCATACCACTTCAATGATTTATGTACAAAAGTTGACGTCTCGCGAAGCTTAAGCTTTTTTTGCACCGCCTATTCAACGTGACATGACTCGAATGTAATACTTTGTATATACCACATGCTATGTCGTTTTTCCATTACCCTTAGTTATGGCCCACAAACAATGCTTTAATGCTTGTATATAAAAGTTGGAAAATAAAAGAGTAATCAAATTAATGAGAACATAAGCAAAAAATAAAAACACTGAAGTAATCTTAAAAAAAGGATTTTTAAATAGTAATAAAAAATGTAAAAAACTTTTTATTGAGTGTCTGACCCCGTGTATACAATGTCTTCGATATTTTGTTTTGAAATTTTGCAACAAGTATAATAGATACGACAAAAAAGTGAAAAACTCGAGTTACATACTCAAAACCACGTATAACATTTGTCCCGGGTGACTTGAGAAATAAATCAACTATCAAAACTTTGGATATAAGTTTCAAGTGCTATAAATATCATAATAGGTAATAATAACAGTTCCATTCCCAGTACACCGATGGACTCATTAGTAAGGTTACCTTAATGTTCTGTCTTAAACCTACACCTATTAATGTGATAGGAGCCAAAACTTTGTAGTTAGCTTCATAGTATTAACGCGGCAGTGAGGGAGAGTATATTCATGTCTTGTAATTGTTATTATAGTTGGAATAACATCAAATGTATAATTTTGTGGTCATCAAATATCTTACAAAATTTTTTCCTTTCGATTGATAATTTCTTGCAATAGGTTTTTATTGGATTAAATAATTTATTATTGGATTACGATAATATTGAGATCGAATTTTCGCTTAAATGAAAATTTATTTAAAATATCAATTAACACTGATAAAAATAGCCCCACTGTGAAGTAAAGTCTAGTGTGGATTTAAAACCGTATTCTGAGGTAGATTTAACGCCAATAAATCTCACACCGGACACCGCAGGGATTTATACCGGCTATTTTTACAAAGCTTGGAGAGAAATTCTACAGTCGGTTTTTTTGCTGAGACTTGAGACACGGCTTGGAAATGATCGACGTTAATACAAGCAGCAACAAATCGTATCACTGAACCGAAAATTAAAGTCGATAAAGTCTAATAAACTTTATTCATTTTTCTCGTTTGCATAATTATATTCCCATTATACAAATAATAACAATTATCGAGCATCAACAGGCTTTACATTTTATTTCAAACGTGAGAATAATTGCGTTTCGAAATTAATGATTTCAGACTACAATAACGTTGAAAAGTAATTAATTTTTTTCCCGACAATTTTTGTATGAATAAACATTATTGTCATCAAAGAGTATTTATTACTCACTATTAATTGGAAGATAATATTAAATTTTATCATGAGAATTGCAATTGATAGTACAAATTAAACATTTTTTTTCAATGGAATTGTACGCGATTACTTATGAATGTTGTGCGCAACCAAATGTAAACGTACATGGGTGCACAAACTGATGTGCATGAATAATTCGAAAATCATAGGCGACAACAGAATTTATACTTGTAATTTTTGTTTAATTTACTAATGGATATTTCATATCTATTTATAGAATCAATTTGTTTATTACGTATAAAAGAGTTTTGAATATTATCGACAATGACAGTGTAGAAAGTTCACAAAGACTAATTAGCGTGGTCGTTTTTATCAAATTGTCCAGTACTTTATTTATTTATGATTTTAATTTTAGCGGCTATTTAATCAAATATAGTTATTGGTTTATTTGTAGCAGGGTATTGCAAAAAAAACAAATGCGTAATAACAATAAAAATAATTTAGCACTTTTAACGGATGTGTAATTGACGATCTGCAAAATTGAGTATGAATGACAACGAAGACTAGTGTGCAGTACGAGAGGATGTATCCGATGATATCATGAAATAACCACTGGGACGAGTATAGAATAATCGTGAATCCGTAAACTGCAAAGATAAATCTCGTATCGAATTGCACGCGTGTCAGCAAATTCGAAAGGTTACTATAGGAGAAACGGATTCGATATACCTAGTTGTTTGCTCGCGCTAGGTCGACGAAATTTCATTGCGGTGGATGTAAAAAAATCGAGGTTAAAAAAAATAACTCAATAAACGGGAAAGAAAAGATGTAACAGAAAAATGGAGATAGAGATGGCGAGTATCGGTGATTTGAACGATAAAAATCTCGTAAGTAACTCAACTGGAACGTCAATTCGACAAGTTCAGTAAAGATATTTTCATGAAAAATACGAATTTAAAATGTGTACGTTCTTTTCCCTCATTTCGTTTCATACTTACACGTACATGCAGTATAATATATATGTGTATACTTTTCTACCAGACTATCGTCAGTCTTCTATCCTTTAACTTTGTTTGCTCTTACCTACGTGGGTTTCCAGCGAATAAAATTAACGAGAATTTTACCCTCACGATAGGTAGTCTAGACTCGAGACTCTAAATTCGTTTGGCAATCGAAATAAATTTTTTTCCATCAAAATTGGAGTTAAAAAAATAATTCTTATTCTTCTCCGATTGCTGTACACCGCTTTACATCCAGTTTATATACACATTTTTCTTAAGTACATACATATATATATATTTAGTTTTCCTCGACAATTTTCAATGAGTGGCTTGTCGTAAATCACGAATCGACTTCTTATACACACACAGTGGGGTTATTGGGACGCTTACGTATATAAACTTGAGTATGACGCTCACGAAGTTGGGTTGGATGAAAAATAAATAAGAAAAAGGTAAGAAAGATGTAAGAAGACGTCGTGCCAAGTGAAGAAAAAAAATCTAAAACTTGGGAAAAGAGAGAAATGAAGGGAAAATGATGCAAAAAATTGAAAGCCACGTAGCTGAACTCAAGAGAGTCGAGAGAATTTCAATATTTCTGTAGTTATGGGGCCACATCACCCCAGGGAATGTAGAGAGGTTCAAAAAAGGACGATATACAAGCAAAACAGAAGTATCTTTATTCTTATTCTTGATAAATTTTCAGGATTAACTACTTATATTTTTTCAAAATTGTTATATCATCATTATCAATACATTTTTATCAATGCCAATTTAATTTTTAACAAATATAAAAAGTAATTGAATTTTTAATTTAAAAAAATGTTAAAACGGGTCAAAAAATGATTTATTGCATTCTATGGATAATTTTATTTATACATTAAAATTGATAGACAAAATTAAGCATGAAAACATTTAAAAAAAAACTTTGAATAAATACATTATTGGTGCAGAGTTAAATTTAAATTATAACTTGATGTTCCAGGTTCTCTTATTTCCAGAAGAAGGATGGGCAAGAAGTGCAAGTAGTTCTTATTGGACATTGACACCTTTTTGGTGGAGTCGAAGTCGATGTAAAGTCGTGGAAGTTGCTGGAACAAGAAGGTTAGAAATAATTAATTAATTAATTAGTTAAATAATTAATTTAAAGTTTCACGACAAATTTAATTAGCTGTAGATATGTTACGTAATGAAAGAGTTTTGTTTCAAACTCTAGATAGTATCGGGTTAATTTATTGCTTATGCAAAAACCTTGAAATGGTTGATGCGTAAAACTTTAACAATGTGAATTTTCGTTTGAGTGAAATCACAACAAACTTTTCAACTGTGATGTCATCTTTTCACACGAATGACTCCAACGCTAAAATTATGAAACTCGGTACACAATTTAGTTCAATAAATATTACATATCTGTATTACGCGATAGTATTATTTGTAAAAAAAAATCTCAAACGACTTAATAACATTCTCAAACAAGCGAAAAAGAAAATAGAACGTGAAGAGAATATTTGCAAAGACTTGAAAAGTTCATTTGCTTTATTCTCAGCGGGATTTCTCATTAGACATATACAGATATACCAAGCTAACTATCAAAAGAAAGATAGAGAAATGCGATTAATCCACAGTGGCCAGGAAGAAACAGGTTAATTTCCGTTTTCATTGGTAGGATAACAGCAATTTAGATTGGACTTATAACTCGAAGATTGTGATAATAATATATTACAAGGAAAAGGAAAAAGAGAAAAATCACAAGAAACGAGGAAATATATTTCTATTTTATTTGATTTTTTTCTCTGTGAATGTTGCGATGGTTGAAATTTGACCCTAAAACCGCATAGATTGATAGGGTCTTTATGCGGTTCGACCAGCTAGCTATTCAAGTATATATGTCCCACGATGATCATGTCCATTCGGACGTGAGCAAGGCTGAATTTAATTCGTAACAATATTCTCTTTACCTACTGCAGATGTGGCCTACATACAACTGTCTACTGCCATCAATATTGAAAGGTTACAAATTGAACGAACACTAAAATAGTTACTCGCTTATCGTTGCAGTATGAAATACACAATATGTGATATTTAATTTATGTTGTTGATGATGATCGAGAAGTGATTTCTATTAATGCCTATCATTGGTAATTTTGGTTTAAATATGATATTACTTCACACTTCAGCCTTAATTAATAATAATAATAATTATTATTATTATTATTATTATTATTATTATTATTATTATTATTATAACATTTACCTTGACAACCCTGAAAAATGATTCTTCATTTTTTGTCATTATATTTTGATCCTAAATAATTCATAAATCCATTCCAATCATCTCTCATTCATCAATATAACATTTCCAAAGAAATTAGCATTAATCATTAGTTCATTAGAATCGATAATAATACTTTAACGAATGAAATAATTCTCAGAACTATCATACATGAATAATCCAGTGACCTTAATTGAATTTTGATTAAAAACAACATCAATTAAAAGCTAATAAACTTTCATTTAGTATTTGGCATTCGCTGCTCAGCTAGCTTGTATAAATAATGTGACTCTATGATTAATTTTAATAATCAATCAGATCAACGGCAGTCAATTATTTTATCGAATTAAAAAAATACGAATTGAAGACTAGCTCTAAGTAGAGAATGGAAGTATGAAAAAAAGGGCTTACAAGTAAAGACTGGAATGTTGGAAAATGTGTACTACGAATGTAGGTCTAAGGTTAACTTTTATAGCAAGTAAGGCTTGAGGTCAGAGTCGTACATGCCACCAAGTCGTAAAGACGGCGTCTTGTTTCAAATACCTTCGTTTTAAATATATACTCAAATTCACTCAATTCTTATCACATTTTTTATTTTTGTTCCATTAAATGATAATAAATAATATTGATTATCCCAAAAAAAAAAAAAAACGAAAGCTTCTTGCTGTTGGCAATTAATTGAGATTGTTTCAAAAAATTATTAATTTCCAAAGTAGAAAGTTAAAAATGATTGAAAGCTCTGGTCATCGAAATAGGTGATGCTAAACCGAAACGATCAGTACTTAGCAGCATTAAAAATATTCATTTTACATTCATATAAAAACTAACGAGTTCACGAGCAAACTTCAACAGAGTTTAAAATCATGAAACTTGGAACATCATTATCATAACCTGAATAGTACTTTTTACAACAATACTAAAAACCGGAAAATTACTGTTGTATTTATTGCAACAGCCGTAATAGTTGTAAACAGAATCCTCATGAAGTACAGAGCCATGTAGCATATAATTGCCGATTCAGAGCATGAATGCCCCCATCAAACGTGCTCCACATATGTATTTATGGCCAAATGTCCCACGATGATAGTACTGAACTTTCAGTTAATTCTAGCGTTGGAATAGTGAAGTTCTATTAAATTCTCAGCACGCCAACCCAATTTTAAAAGTGTACTAATGTCGCTAGTTACCTACCTTCAGATCTACATCCAACATCCTTCATTGGTATGCTACTGTTTCTTATGTTATCATTATCAGTAGCATGCTCTCTGATGTGCATACATACCAACTATCAACTACCAACCAACCATCCACCATCCGTTATGAACTACCCTGCACCATCAACCATCGTTAATATCTGAGCCCTCACTTACATCAACTCTGCACCACACACACACAAACACTCAAAGTGAGCTTGGCCTAGGAGCCAGATATCTCTAAGCTATCTAACCAAGTTGCATCGCGTTATTCGGGGGCAAGTAATACCCCCGGCACTTGGTCCTTACCTCTTTATACGTGGATGTACATGATGTGCTGATGTTAGTGCACTTGTATACTTGTACATTTCTACTACAAACACTCAGCTCCTTGACTCACTCTACGAACCCCGAGCTACGCTAGATGACTTCTACCACCTCGCGTAACTAGAACTCATCTAACTTACTGGGTATGTAGCTTCAGCTCTTCCTTTTCCTTTATACATATAGGGGCATATATATACATATATACATCCTCACAGTTACCTACCTCCTTGCTTCAGCATTCTCGCTTCTGTCTCTCGGGTGAGAGAGAGCTCTGCTCTGCCGGGGGTGATAAGGACTCGCAATTTACTGCCACTCAAACTCTTCGTTACATCGCCTATCTTCGTTATTTTCCTTTTGTGTTTTTTTCTTATTTGTTACCCTGATTGTCCGTTACGCTTCTTACGCTTCCCCGAGACATTTGTACAAACTGGCTGACCATACGTTGAATAGCACCACTTACAATCTCATACGTGACTGGAAACTGGTTTTCTATAACGACATTTTGTTTTTTCTCGTTGTTGTTTGAAATAAGCTGGTAATAAAGTAGCAAAAAAGGACACAGAAGCAGTTAAAATTTTTAAATAAATAAAATATGTAGGTATTGTTCGTTACACCTCCAGAAATCTATTTATAGCATTAATTCTTCATGTAAGAGTTTACTTAATATTTTCATATGATAAAATGCGGATGCTGTCTTCACCACAACTTTCACCTTTCTTGAAGGAACTTTATGAAACTTAGTAAACTTATTTCTTGAACAACTACTTCCGATGAGTTTGAAGAGGAGCAAAATTGAGAGATTAGTTTATTTAAAAATTGTGGCTGTTTGAAATTTTTAAAATAGTAAAAGTAGAGATTTTTAGTCATGTATTTGAAAATAACTTTTGATCAAAAAGAAGTAGCTCGTTTCTATAAAAATTATGCTTGCTACCTTATAAAAGACATTTTTTTTAGTTTTTTCAGATTTTTTTGACCCAACCAAAAAAAAAGTTATGAATTTTTGAAAAAATGGCCTTCTATTTTTGAAGTAGCTATTCTAAACAATTTTCTGGCTATTGAAAGTGATTTAATATAACTTATAAATACATTTTACGATAACATACCTATTAAATTTGCTTGCATGATTAAATTAACTACTAATTTGCCCATAATACGCCTATAACATTATGAATTCCAAGATAAAATTTACCTTTTATCTCGTATGTGGCCCGAATGTAACTTTCTTTTCGGTTGTTTGCCGTTATCTGTAGAGTGTGCAGTGTGTTTTAGTAGGTTTGTTCCCGTAGTGGAAATGTGTGCTGTAAAATTTAAATGAAGAGTGAAATAGGATGTTGGTATTTACAGGAGTTATTCATTGAGCTTAAACTACAATGGGAGTGTGTATCGGTGTGTGTTTGTTCCTCGTGGTAGTTGGTATAGTGGGTTAAGGTAAAGTTTTCACAGTACAGTTTTAGACTCTCACGAGGGCGCTTTTCCTCTCGCTATTCCCGAGTGACACCGAACTATAGGGGAGATAATGGAGTTGAGGATCTCCAGCGATAGTTTCAGATTGCTGGGATTCGGGCTCGATTAACGATCATGAAGATCTTTAGATTCCCCTTGGATAATCCGGCTAAATTACTTCTCTATTCTTTAATCACTATCAATCTATTTTCAATGCTAATTTTGATTTCGTCACTTTCATTAATTAATTGAGGACTTTACGGATTATAAAGCGTTTTATTTCAATGTCTTTTGTATAATCTTCTTTTAGTAAGTATTATAAATTACAATATCATTCACAGCCTTCTATTTTATTTAGTAATTTAGTATTATTTGAAACTTGAGATAAAATTTTATTATTTTGTTGCAGCTTAGTAAAACTCACTGCATTTGTATTGTATGCATTATTAAATATTCATTTTATATAGCAATATAAATAAAAACGGTTCTGCATATTATTTGTTTGGTAGAAATAAACATACGTGATCGCAAAATATTAAATTTTTATTTAACAAAAATATTTATTTAACTGAAAGTCAATGGATAAAATATTAATGTGGAGAGCTTATTTGTTTATGAATGAATTTTGTAGCAAGACCATAAATTTAAAAATAAAATTATACCTTGAAATAATTTATTTACTAGAAATCTCAGTCCAAAAGACAGGATACATAAATCACCCAATAAGAAAATAATTTGAAGTAAGAAATAACATTTTCTATACTAATATATTTAAAATATTCAGTTGTTTATTTACTTACCGATTATTTGTTCAGAAAAGAGTTAGAAAATTTGTTTATTCAGCCTATTGAGTTAAACTTTTGTAGCACTTTCAAAAGCGCATTAAAAAATTACCAATTTAAAATTTTTTCCGAAAGTACTTACCAAACTTCTTATCATTATCGAAATAATGGCACAGTTGACTTTAACTAAAAAAGAAACATTTTTAAATGTAAGACATTTATGATGATAAGCATAAACAGGAAGTTTTATATACTGTGAATAACTTGTGGAGTAAATAAGAAATAAATACGAAGCGGATAATTTTTTTCATTCATTTTTTTTAGAGAGGAAGTTCTGTTAATATTATTAAGAAAAGTTTTATGAGGTTGAGTCTGATTTCTGGTATTTATATTTATTAAAGAAAAAATTGAAATAAGATTTTGTTTTTTATTCTTTTTTATAGACAACTAAAAATAATGATTATTTATTTTAACATTATTGTATCTGCTTTCCGATTAGTTTTAATGTAATCATAGCTAAAATTTATTGAAATTTTGTTGGTCTATAAAATAAGAAAACTTAAATTTCGTTTCGTCATAAAATAAAAAGTGCTTTTAGTGTTGATTAAGTGTATGCAAACGAAATATAATTTTATAGAGGAATTAAATATATTTTCAATGGTCGATTTATTTACGCATCTTGAGTTCAGTTGAAATATTTTATTTAACGACCATCTTCAGCCCGAGATATAAAATAACGTTATCGTAATTAAAGTAGTGAGTATAAAGTTGAGTTTTTGCAATCAAATCTCGTTAAATGTCTTAGATTTAGTTAAGCATAAACATTTTAACGAGATTTCTCAGCGAGTTTATCCGTAATCTAGTTTGTTAAGTAGGAAGCGTTATTCCACATGTCAAGTCTTATTTGGATTTAGTGAAACTAGTGTATATGTGGGTAAACTAATAGTGGCTTACATAGGTAGTCATAATAGAACTCCGATGTACAGCTAACGGAATATAAGATAAATCTATTTTTTATTTTTTCTTTGACATCTTAAGAAACTAAAAAAGAAATAAACTCACCTGACATGTCTGATACTGGAAGAAGATTAATTTTACAAGGCATAACGCTATAAAAAGATAGAAATTTACATTTTCATTTTAAATTTTAATGAAAGGAGACTTGTAAAAGCGTATGAAGGGACTAAGCCCATTATGGTGGACCATTCTGTACCACTGGGCACCACTTTCGTTTCTACTTCAGATTAAACACTCGCAAAAAAACTCAAGCTGTTTTTTTCACTCATTATTTTACTACGGAATTAACATCAGTTCGTAGTATTTAGATCTTTTGATTTCAAGTAACTTTTTTTAAGTAGATGTATGAAAAAGCTTGAATGAATGAGAGTAGGAGAGTAAACTTATTCATTTGAAATAGTTAGAATTATTATGCTAACTATTTTATTATTCAAATTTCAATGGGTTTGTTTTGTTGCATGTTAATGTCGATGCATAAAGCGGAATCGCTCGTGATTTGGTTGAGTTATACAATGAGGGAAAATTAAAGGAACAGTACATATACATGTGCGAATGTGTCTTCTATGTACATTGGAGAAATTAAGAAAGATTCATAACTTTTTGACAGGAACAAAATATATTAGCTTGCAAGAGAAAAAAATTTTGAAGCAAATAAAAGAACTTATTAAATATTATTTTGATGATAGAATAAAATATCTAATTATGTATCAATGATACCAAGTATTTTATTTTATAATTCTTAGTTTAATAATTCGGTCTCCCTAAGGATCCCTAACAACTTTCCCTGAATAATTAATTCTTTTTTTTTTTTCAAGTCTCGAAGTTAAAACAAAAAAAGCATGACTACACTTTTTGTTCATCCGGATCCCCATTTTTTTCTTCTTCACTAACGTACCGCAGTGAAATTTCAAACAAGAGCCGAGACACTCCCTGCACTTGAATAGAAGACGATTAAACTTTTAATGATCGCCGTCGGGTTAAGTTCTGTCGGGATGCGCCTTCTGCTTCCCTTCAAAATTTTAAGAGAATCATGAAGCATTTGTCGTAGGGTTAAATCCTTACCAATTCAGTCACAAAGATACGTTTCACTGGGGATCCCTTTCAAAAAAAGTTACTCAAACACTTTACAGTCTATTCTTTACAGCCAATCTGAATTCTAACCGGTCATCACTTTTTAAGTTCAATATTCCATGAAAATTTATAAATATTTACAATAGAAAAACTTTGTAAAAAATTTTTTGTATTAATGATTATTTTAAAACTGAATTGAATAAAATAAAAAACACGAATTAATGACATTAATCCACAAGAAATAAACAAGTTGACTGTAAAAATAATACGAAAATAACTGTACAATAATTAATGACGGAAAAAAGAACATAAAAAAAATTAGCGTGCAGAAAGGTAAAGGAAATTTACGTTATTACAGTTAAAACGTAAGAGAACTAAAAATAATGGCTCGTAAATTACACGCATGTGCCTCGGACCAGAAAAACATGACATTATTTTTTTTTTTAATTATCCGCCATATTAAACGTCTGTAAATTACACCGCTAAAATTCTACACATAGAAACTTTTTTTTTTTTTTTATTAGAAACAGTAAATGCTATTTATCATTTTTTTATAAATTAGAAAATTAATTAAAAATTTGAATCATTTTCAAACTAAATAGAAAAATATATAATACTTTTTTCAACAAAAAAAATTTTATCGTTTAAAAGTCTATGTAGATATATTTAGCATAATAATTAGCCTTTGATACGATTAAAATAAGAAACAAGATAAGCTAGGAAGTTTAACAAGCTACTCTGATAGCAACAAGGTAGGTTTGGTGGTTTTGACTATGATAGAAAGCGATGGGTGGTGTTTGTGGCTCGGGTATGCTCAAAGACCACAAAGGATCACGACAAGGATATTCCAGTCTAAATTTACTAAACCTATTCCCCCTTGCCAACGGTTTATGCTCATTCATTCATATTAAGTAATTACTTATTTACTTATTTATATCATGGTAATTTCAATGAAATCAAAGAGCTTTTTGACCAACACCTTTCATGTTAGTAAAATATTTCTAAAGCATTAAATCGCTCAATTTAAAAAAGTTTTAAAATATTTCCGCACTTAGCACAAGCTTCACGTGCTTAATTAGTAAAGCATAATACTTGAATAGTTATGATTAATCGACAATAATGAGTATCTATAATGAGATAGATTTGAAATTACAGCAAAGCTCAAGCCTCGCTCTAGACTTGACAGGTTTATAAGCTAAGAACCTCCCAACATTAAAGTTTGATACATGTGTTAAATCTGTGCAAGCTCATTGCCTCTCACATACACTCGTCTACTTCACCAAACGCTCGGATGTTTAGTTAACAGTTTTGGCATGTAACAGCACCGGCAGCCGCCATAGCTAGCAGAGAAGTAGGAGTGTAAGCATTAGAACCAGAAGCACACTGGCAACCGCAGCTGAGTATACTGATCTAATCGTGCGTTTATGTGATTATCCAAGTACTATGTATATAACTGCCGTATTTACTAAGACGTTACGTATGATATCATGATCAAGAGAGATTTATAGGTATAGAATAGGTATGGAACATAAATGCTTTACGCAAGATTAAGATCATCGAAGATTCGGTGGTCTGTGACGAATTAATTAGCCATCAATCACGGTTATCATTAGTGTCATAATCATAATCAATGATTGTAATTTACACCAACGTCAATGCCGTTGTTGTTCGACATCGGCCGATTACTGTCGTGTTCCAGTGCATACAGTTATTGTATAAGACATTGAATGGTTTCAGATACACAACCCAGGCGAAGATGGTGGACACAGGAACAGGAACCCTCTACATCATTGGGTCATTCAAGCGACAGACTGTTGATCCTGATTTCAAGGTGATGCATGCTCATTGCTCATTAAGCTTAGTCTCTGTAGGAGCTACCTATGAAATTATTTTATTATATGCTCATGTCATGATTATGGTTGGATCAAAACATCTAATATGCTTATATATATTTATTGACATTGAAATTAGTCATATCAAGTGATTTATGGGAATGTCAAGGCTAATCTTTGTCAAGATTAAAGAAAAATCTATTAAATTTATAGTTTTACTCATCATGTATGTCCATTTATAATTTTTCGATCTAATATTTCATATGTTCTATTTCAAATGCTATTTTTTACAAAGTATTCTGGACATATCCTTTGTATTATCTTTAGGCCGTTAGAGGACTTTGTCCTACGACCTTGTCAATGAATTACAATTACAATTACAATCAGAAAATTTTTCACAAGTATATTTCTTCCAATTATAACTTTTCTGCTGAGTTTAGACATCACCTAATCTACCGTGGTTAATTAAATGAAAAAATGATATAAGATATAACTGTATGACTTAGTTATAGTTTGGCGTATTCATGCGGGTACACCTTGGGAATCGTCCAACCAGTGAAGCTATGTTCTTACTCCTTGGTACTCTTGTTACTGTTGGTACTCTTATCAGACTGCTACAGTCGCATGGGATTATCTTTGTATTTGCCACCGACACAACGACTTTGTCAATAGTGTCGTTGTCGTAAGGATAAAGTCCTTCATTACGTTTGACACCTCTTGGGATTTTCATAAACCCAGACACCTTGATAGATATTTTTTTTTTACCACTAAGCCGGTTTTAAGCTTATAGAATTTAAGTGCCAATATGGTTTTTAATATGACGGTGTTTTTTTATTGGCCTGGAAGATCCTATTCAAAAATTTGTTGGCAAGTATAATTGGTTGTCTATCAATCATATTTCATTTCTTTAATCTTGAATCGCGAAGGATAATTTTTCATCAACATGAAAAATATCGTAGAGGAGAATACTCAGAAAATGATTTTCATTCAAGAAAAATTTGAAATAATCTGTATTTTTAGGATCAAAATTAATTAATTACTAATAATAACAATAACTAACAATTGGAATTGGATATTCTGTAATTCTGGACGACGACTTTGGAAGTCCAATAACGCTCAATCACAATGTAACCTCATACACCGAAATCCAGTCAAAGGTGACCACAGTTACTCTAACCTAATTAGGATCTCCAATAGTAATATTAAACCCACTGTGCCACGAGAAACTCCAGATTAACCATTAATTAATAATTTGAATCATCCGTAGTTCGATATACGATACGTTTCTAGTTATTTCTAATGATCGATCGATCGATTTAATTTATTTTACAAGCAGATGAATCTTTTGTGTTTCGCTGGTTTCATTTTTGAGGATCTATTCATTTCAAAATATTCTTAATTAACACTGAAAATTAATTGGTTGCAGAAATTTTTTAGCTCAAAGTGTTAAGACTGAATATTTACACTTGTGCTATCGTATATCATATTTTATTTCTTTGTTTTGTTGTGCAAACAATGTTATCATTACAATGTGTTTATTTTGCAACAGAGATGCATTGTGTATAAAATGTTAAATTGTTCACGGTTATTCGTATATGCATACATCGGGGAAATATTCCGCACGAAAATCCTTAACACGAAAGATATCCCTTTTAGCACATGTTTCTACTGCGCTGCAAGGAAGGATAATAGTGGTAGTAGCGTAGTCCTTCTCGACGTATGATATGACGAAGAGAAATATCGCGGATGGAAGAGAATGCTCTAAGCACCTGGGTGTATATATTGCTTATGTGATACGCTTTATACATTTTAGTATTGTCGTAAAATTTCAACAATGGCTTATACAATTTCTTGTTGACAAAATCATAACTCTTTTGACATTTATAAATATACACGTTCGCTCTCAACAAATCTGGGTTGTTTATGACATTATATACATCATGAAATTTTTTTTTTTTTTTTAATAATAATAATAATAATGCTACATTTAAACGAAATGACTGAATTTAGATTTTTAATTTAAGTTGTACAATTAACAATTCAATTTTAAAGTTTTTAAACTATCTTTTAAATCTACAATAAATATAATAATAATAATAATAATAATAATATTTATCAAAAATATTTATAGCCTTTATTACCCGTCGGGATATTAATAAATAATAAGAAAAGAAAAAAAAAAAACAATTTATTGAAAAAATATATTCGTTAAAAACAAAAAAAAAATCTTGAGAAAAAATCTAAATTAATAAACTTTGAGATAAAATCAGGAAATAAATCAACCTAAAATATTGCCAACAATGAATTTATTTGACAGAATACATATCGAAATGTCTGAAAGATACTATAGATAATAAATCTCTGAAAAATTTATTTTCTTCGATTAATAAAATACAAAAATTCCTATGAATTATTAGTTTTCTTCTATAAGAAAAAAATTTTGTCCAACTAATAAACTTACATCCGTATCAAATTTCATAAACAAGTAATAAAATGTAAATAAATTTTTTTTTTCAGTTGTACCTGACATCAAATGTAACATCGAGTGACTTCAACATGGGCTACAGCATGACCGGTACCCTAGAGCGAGGTTGTAAAAAGACAAACACATTCCAGATGACACATTTTGCGGTGATACGACGACGAGATTATGAGAAAGCATATGAAGACCCAAATCCTACCTAGTGTTCGTCACCACCCACACACTCGGAGTGTGGGGATTACGAGTATTACACATAAACTACCAAGTGTCATAAGCCATAAGATTATTAAAGCCAAGCCAAAAAAAAAAAAAAAAAACGAGTGACAAAAGCATCGAAAGTAGAACCAAAGGAAAATCGCAAATAATTTGCATCAAGTGTCTTTAACCTATTATCCATAAAAAAAAAACCAAAAAACAAAGAACAAAATGAATGTAAGATTACTTTTAGTTATTTTGTATTTCGGAGCGTATGTTTTTTGTTATTTCTTTTGGGATTTTGCGGATGTTCAAGGTAAAATTCAAAGAATTCTAGTCACGCGATCGGTATGCCAGACAAAATCTCTCAAACTCGTCACGTCCGTCGTGACACTTTCGTCTTTAGAAGAATAGCCCTCGATCGACGATTCAACTCACCCTTGTCTCTTTATCTGGGCCAGGGGACTGCCATGCTCATGATCGTTAATCCCAGCAGCGCAGGAGCGAGGGAGAACGGAGAACAGAGAAAGGAAGAAATTAAGGGGAAGGATGACAGTGGAATAACAGAAAAAACCGTCTGTCTTTTTCTATAAAGTTTTATTCGGAATCTAAAAATCTCCGGGTCAGGCTTTCTCTCTCCTTTTTTTTTTTTTTTTTTTTACGGTCCAAGTCAAAGAAAGTCTGACCCTTATGGTGGTGAGTCGATCCGCCGACAGATGAAAATTGATAGTGCCGATAAAAGAAGAGTCTGGTTGACTGAGGAGGCTAACTTACAATCGATTATTTAGAAACGTGTGCGCTCATTCGTTTCTGCTGTGAAAAATTTACTGTCAACTTTTTTTACTTTAGTTATTTATAATGAAACTAGAGCTAAATAATAATAAAAATAAAAATGCGTAAAAGCAAAATATCCCGTAAGCGAAACGTCCAATTGTAGTATATGTATGATTATAATTGTAATTATTTGTTATTTTTAATGCTATGAATGCAAAACTAATTACCAAAGTACTAGCATGTAAGGTCAAAAAATGTTTTTTTTTTTTTTTTTTTTTTTTTTTGTTTTCATTATTATTACGACCACGGTTATTACTATTTATTAATTTTTATATTTTAGTTCGCTGTTTTCATGCCGTGACTGCTGTTTTATTATTTCAAACACGAATAGTCTGGACTGATAAAATATTGCGTGCGAAGCTAGCTCGTCAAACCAAGACTTTTGTTAAATTTATTTATAAGTGAGTGTAAATATATCTAGATTCATTTACTGAATAGTCTCGTCATCGGGGTTATTAATGTTAAGCACAATTTTAACTAATTGTTTTGAAAAAAATTTAATACGCGATTTTTTTCGCGAAGAATTAGAGCTTTTTGATTTAACATCAGTCTTTATTTATTGATCTGAGGATATTATGGCCAGCTGCTAAAAAAAAATAAATAAATTATTGCAGCATAAATTTTGTCATTGAAAAAAGTCGAATAAAATATATATTAAAAGGTAAAAAAAATTTAGGAGGCTGTAAAGTAAAAGATCCAATTCGTATTACGATAAGCTTACCACAGTTCTTCTTCAAAATCTGAAATCCTCCACTCCCGACTAATATCAGTATATATAACGTATCTCCCAGTCTTTACTAGATATCCTGATATTCCAGCTCTACTGAAGACGCGTTAGCTAATCCCGCAACGAGTGTATTACCCAAGAAATAAAGTTAAGATCAAAAAGATATAAAGAGATAGATGAAACAGATGAAACAGAGAAAAAAAATGGAATAAGCATGAGCTTGCAAGAATATAATTCTCTGTCATCCGCTTCCGATATTATATTGTATGCATAAGCATTACAAATATTTTTTCTTATTCTTTTTCTTCAAATCTTTTTATATAATTGAATAATATAATCATGTGTCATTTTTATTGCTCAATTCATAAATATTACTACAAATACCCCGATGACTGATGACATGAGTAATGTTTAGAGAAACATTTTTTTTTTTCATTTTTTCTTTTTATTGTAATGTCACTTACAATAATATAAAAATAAAACAATAAATTGTTGTAAATAGTTAAATGAAATTATATATTTATTGATTAATCAGAATGCGGCGATTTGTCGCAAGTTAAATTAATTTGGCCCGGGAAAAAATTTTCTGATATAAATTGATTTGGTCTAATATGTCTACATACACATTTTGATTTATTTTGATATTCTCATATAAAATTATTATATTAAAATTCGTCACATTAGGACATATATAGCTTGATATATTCCGATATGACTTGATATGCCCACAGAATTTTTTGTCGCCTTACAAAAGAGTTAAGTCTGAAATTTAAGCCTATTTTTTTTTAATTACAGCTTATTAATTAATGCACAAGACTTATATTTATTTAATTTGTTTATGTATTAGATTTAATACTGTTATATAAGATCAGATCAGATCATATCAGTATTTTTTCTACGGCTGAATCAATTTAAAAAGTTTGGTGATAATGATAATGCTAACGATAAGATTAAAACGCAATTATTTTAGTGTATTACAGGGTTAACTTGGAATTTATCCAATGTCTTACTCGTTAGTATAAATGAAAAAAAAATTAAATGAATATTATATACGATATCAAGAATAAAATAGCACAACGTCACTTTGAAATTTTCGATGCAATCAAAATAGTAAAATATGCATTGGATAAAAAATATTTTTATTGGTCAGGTGACGTTGAAAGTATACTATAAAAGCATCATTTGATGAATAAATAATGATATAATAGTTAACATTAATGAATAATCAACATAAAATTATAAATCACGGATTGCTGAGTGATGATTGCAATTAATTGTGTAATTAAATATTGAATTACGGAAAGATTAAGAATACGTAAAATGAAAATACCTCGATGTGTAGAACGTAGATTATGGAGCGAATTTTTCGTCGCTATGATCCATTATTATTATTATACTTTTTTGTTTAATCTAGTCCATTTAGCTTTATCTATAATGCAATGTGGGAGCTGGAGCTTCAAAAATAATCCAAGTCGTGTTCGAAAGTTGATCAGAAAGCTCTGGAAATTTTATTAACCACCTAGAATATTTATGTTCTCATAACTCATACATTTAAGGATTAAAGTACTTTAGAATAAAATTCAAAACATTATTCGGATTCGTTAAAAATTCAAGATTAAAATCTCGGGATTAAATATTACAATAAACAATTTATTTTAGCGACATGAACAAAAAGTTTTTTTTTTCTAAAAATGCATATTATTTTGATAATTAATTTATTAGTAAATTTTTTACGCATTCAAATGTTAGTCGAGAAGAAATAATTGTGAAATTAATCTTTTATAAGTGTGGAAAAGGTTTTTTTTTTTTAATAATTCTTACGCTTGGAAGCAAAACTACAAGTATCAGAGAAATTACAACTGACATCGTTGTGCTGAAGTTAAAAAAAAGGCGCATAAATTTATTGCTTATTAGTCGACAGACTAATTTTATGTCTTGGACATAAAAAAATTATTGGAAAACTTTTGGTTAGTTTGAAAATCATAAAAAAATTTATTGTTATTAAAATGTGAAAGTAACTTTTTTAGTTGATCATAAATTTAAAAGTGATTGTTTCACCCTGGATGGTCGATTTGACCCAGTTCCTTCTGCAAACTCATTATTCAATGTGTCATGAAATATATATTTTATTTTATTTTGAATTCAAGCTTATTTCACCGAGGCCAAATAGAGAATATCATTTTGTTTTAAAAAATCCAATTTTTCTTCATAAATTTCTCCATTTTTATCAATTCTAAGTTGAAACTTATACGCCTCTTTGGCACTTTGCCTTATATTTCAACTGTAATACACCCTTTTAGCTTCAAGAATAAGATGTAGAGAGGCCATTTTTATGACACCGTATTAATTGTCTCAATGCATCATGTCATCAATTCTAATAACAAAGAAGCAATTTCGATGAGTTATAATTATAATCGTTAACCTCTATAAAATCGAATAAATTTCTTCATTATTATTTGGCTATCAAATCAAGATGCCGGTATCTATATTTGATTTTTTTTCAAATAAATATTGCAGTAGACGTTAAATTTTTATGAAAAAAAATTGGCTTGATAATAAATGAAATTTTGAAACCCGAAAAAAGTAACTAATTATAAGAAAAAGAGCGTTTAATATAAAAATAAGAATAATAATTAGTAAAAGATATGTAAGCTTGTTTATTTAAATTTCTTTATTCGCAAAATGTCAATCCGATCGTGTTACGAATCGTGCCCAGAATTAAACGTCCATGAAATTTTATTTCCGGCTCTGGTTATACTACCGGACGCTAGGGAAATAGCTGACATATAAACGAACGTACATTGATTCATATAAAATACACACAAACAATATACATATATACATATAGACGCGTATATATACATAACATTGAATTGTAACAGAATATTTTTGCATGAAAAGTACGATTGAATGAGTTTGCAAACCCCGGGCAATATTACGATCATGTTACATTATAATTTGTACTATAGAGAAGAGAAATAGTTACTATAATTCACTTTTACAATTTGCCATTGTTCGTCTGTAAAATTTATCTACCCGTGGGATGATACAGATTAAATGGGGCCTAATTGCCAATTGCGAATTAATTAATCAATGATTATCTGTGAAACGATTTGAATTAGATTTTTAACCATTTTATTTATTAAATATTAACTGTTTGCTCGCTCCCACAGATAGTGCAAATGTGTATTGTATATACTATATAGTTTTCCTTGATAATCAAGTCACGTTAAGGCTAAATTTTCAGTCTCTTTGTTCACATTATGATTATGAGGTATAATTAAAAAGTAAAAGTGTTTAAAGATAATACATATAATTAATTGCGAGTTGAATTTAATGAATAAAAAAAAAAACAAAGAGTATTAGCTTTTTCGTCCAGAGCAAATTGTAGTAGTTTAATTAGGCACCTAGAGAAAATAAAAAAAAAAAAAAAAAACGTTTTTCGAAATAAGTACGTCCGATATCACGGTCCCTCCTACTACTTAGCAGTAGTTCAGACCCCAACGATGCACGCTTTATTTGAGACTTGAAACATGGTCACTTATTTTGTAAGCTGCACTCGGGTCTTTTAGTATTTTTTAATAACTAAATTAAAGATTATTGTAACAACCTCCCTGTTAATCTAATTTATTTTTATTTCAGTAATAGTTGATTCATTACGGAGAAATATTATTAAAAATTCGTCGAAATTATTTGATTGTTATTACTAGTTATCAAATTGTATATATCAAAAAACGTTATTGTTGATTCGGATATTTTTAGGGACATAGCTATTTTTTTTTTTTTTTTAAATGTTTTAGTTTTTTTGTTACACATTATAGTTGTAAGTTTTATTTGTTTTTTAGGTAAAGATCTTCAGGAAAGTTGACTTATTGTCGTTTTAATCCTCAGTGAATTTAGAGTAGATTTTAGAATGAATATTTTTAGAAAATCGATGATTTATTTTGGCTCTGAGAGGTTTAATTACTAATTGATAATGATATCAATTTAATAGTTCAATTAAAATCATATTTAATCTGTGGCTGTCTGTGAAATTGATCTGTGTAAATTTGTGAATTTTATTTTTAGAGTCAAGTAATCACACTCAACCAGAGATTTATTTAATGATTTTTAATAGATGAGTCAAAATAAATTTTGGATACGATAGTCTAATAAATTAATAATTGGTAATTTCAACAATAAATAACCATTAATGATTATCCTAAATGTGTATGATACATTAAAGACTTTAATATGAAAATAAAAACTATTGTATCCATTCGATTGATTTTTAATTACGATAATGAGTAGTATGTACTGAACTTATGATTATTGACATCGTTATAATTATTAATTATAATGGTCTTCACGATACGAATTATTGAAATTCGTATTCAAAGCTATGGCTGTGATCTTAACTAATAGACGAAAAAATGAATTAAAACTTTTAAAGAATATAAAAAATAATAAAATTAATGTTTAAATTCATCATTACGTATTTGAAGATATATACGTTTACGCAAAAAAAAAAAAAAAAAAAATAAACAGCATTTATTGACGTGCTGTTTTTTTCTCCGTGTAGATTATCAATTTATATAATTGTGGACAAATAATAAATATTTTCGCGTAAGCATTTTTATTTATATTTATCGATAAAATATGAGTTTTTACTGTTAAAAATATTTGTCAAAACTATATTCCATTAAAATTTTGATGATCGCACTGTAAATACGAAAACATACGAATAATAATCAATAAAGTTAACAGAAGCCGATATGAGCAAAATTAAATAAATTTATAAATCAAAGAATAAAGATAACAAAAAATAATAAATCAAATTGTAAATAGTTGATAATATTGCCATGGAAGTTTGCTTTTGCTATTAAGTGAGAAGTTAAAAAAAAAAAAATTCAAGTAAGAAGCGATTATCGATTAGTTGGTTTTATATCTCCGGCGATACTGCAATACTGTGCTCGTCACTATCTGTTTTTATAGACTATGAAGTTTTATAATATTTATTTACAAAGAAACTCTGTAAAAAAGACAATTGTTTAATTGAAGAAAAATAATTTTTTAAAAATTCAATTGTCTTAATTTGAAATATCATTTATGTTAGATCAATAAATCAAAATTTTTTAATGAAGAAAGAAAAATAATTTATTTACTTACGAAAATTGTTTTTGTTCGAAGAAATTGATTTTATCGATTGAAGATGAGATAATTTTGAATCAAGCACTAATAGTTATTGACAGAAGGTACAAATATCTGAATCAAAGAGTATAAAAATCAAGAATTACCGGTTTTCTTAATTTTCTTGGTTCAAGATTATTTTTTCTTAATTTTTTTTATCAGTGTAATACTGCAGTATCACCTACGGTATATTTTTTTAAAAAAATAAATATAAAACTATTATTTGTCCATTACCCATAGGATTGGAATTTGCTGTTAGTGAATAGAACGTTCCATAGTGGTTTGTACGTCTGTATAGTTAAATCTATTTTAAAACTCAGAAGACTTTCAGATTGTAACCAGCAATCTTCGTGCGGGTACTTCGGATCCAATTTCATTCTATTCGATTTTATTCAATTTTCATACATCTGAGGTATAATTGCATTTTTTTTCTTCATAGACAGCGAATTGATCCTCACAATGGAACGTTTCGAAAATAAATGCGTATTACAGTGACAACGTAATCTTCAAAATATATTTATGTAAACGTATTTTATCTATATGTACGTACGTTAAATTGAATCTAATTTAATTGTAAAATATAAATAATAATAAATCAAGTCAATGTCGTCACTACATGTAACGAAAAATAATACTAATATAATAATATATTAAAAATGTAAAATATAATTGTGAACGTAGTATATTTTACAAATAAATAAATGACCTATATTGTAAGAAGCAAGAGGTTCGCGTTCATTACGTCTAAAATGTTCACAAAGCTAAAAATGAAAATAATAATAATACTTATACTAATAATAATAAAATATAAGTATTTATGCTGAGATATTATGTGTCTCTTTGTATAATATAGAAACGAAGCTTCAATGTATTTTCACTACAGTCCTGTTTAAAGTCAATTTCATTTTGTATTTATCCTTAATCAGTATATATTGTATTTATTGTCATAATTTATGCGAAATAAATGTTACATTTATGCCAAGCTATCATTTTATTTTTCCAAAACTCCTAATCTACTTTGTACATAATATATAACACAGTATGTTATTAAAAATTTATCAAAAAAGATTTTTAAAAGAAGTTACATTTTTTTACGGGGTTCATTTTAGATCCCAGCGGACATTTAAAGTCAGTTGCGAAATCTAAACTGTTCGAATATGACCCTATGATACGCTTATCCTTCGGAGAATGACTTTTATCGGATGTTGAGGCAAATTTAGATTGATAATCGCAATAAAAGTTAGCGTGGGATAACCAAAATAGTTGATTCGCATCGAATTTGGAGCTCGAATAAATTGATTCCTTTCCGTTTTTCTTGACCCAATCTTGGTAGGCGGAGTAACTTATTTTGATGCCAATATTGTCGGCGATGTTTTCATCCAAAAGTAATTGACCATCAAGCTGCGGGAAAAAAAAAAATTAGATATAACATTAGAATCAAATTAATTAACAGCTATTGTTTTAACAACATATAGTCATACTGTTTCGTTGGTCGTTGCATAAGTATAGTTATTGAACTGCTCAATTAGACACGTTTCCACTTCCTGGTATTTTTGATTAGTCAATTGACCCCAATTGTTCTCTCTCATATAGTACTTATTATCCAATTTGTAACGATTGTCAACAACGTGTCCTAGTTCATGAGCAATAAGATGTCCAAAATTAGCGTAATTAATGAAGTTTGGACGATTGGTACTGAAATAAAAGTATTTCAGGGTTCCAATATCTAGAACTTGATTTGAGGAGAAATTTTAATATAATTTTTGAAAAGAAAGAGAATCAAAATTATTAAAAAAAGTTTTTTTTTTTTGGTTACCAATTCGACCAGAATATGCTTCATTGTAACCATCGGAAGAAAGATACTCAAATAATTTAAACGCGAATGTAGAGTCCCCTTGGTTTTCTGGTTTCTGTATTTCACTAACAAAACTGCGGTCATAGAATACACTGACGTTCAAAAAATTCATAAGATAATTATCAGGGGTGATTTGAAGCCCTTGATAGTATTCTTCAAATTTTTTGTCATCTAACATTGTGCCAGTCGCTCCAAAAATAAAATCAACTAACTGTAAATACTGAATTATATCATTTTTAGCATCGACATCCAGCCAACTTGTATGGTTTACGGTATCAATCAAAACTTGTTTTACATTCAAAGCTATCTCGTAAGCGCTGTTTTTAACGCGCTCTTCAACTCCGGAATGCCGTACCCAATAGGAAGCCAACAGTTCGGGTAAATATAAAAATAATTCATCGATACAATCTTTCTCATCTAACTTTTCAACTAAGTATTCGACTGTCTTCCATATAATATAATTAGCTTGTACTCTTTTCGGAGTTTCATTGATTAATCTTTCGAATTTGGTAATGTAATCGGGGTTAGTTATTATCACTACTGATTCGTTGGTAAAATGGTGTTGCTCAAATATTTTCATCCATTTTATAGTTGGCCACTTTTCGATTGCTGCTTTAATTGTTATTGCATTATTGTTATTTGTGCTGTTGAGTGGAGGTGAGTGATTCTTAACGCTTGCATCGTAGAGTTTCCGTTCGAATTCTAAAGACTCTATAAATTCTACTCTAGCCTGTGACTCATTTACTCCGAAAAGTCTAGCAACACTGACCATATAATCGATTTCAGAGTTTATTGAACTCGAATACGAAGGATTTGTTGCATTTAAACTTGGGAAATCCAATTTCGCTGGACTCAACTGATTCATAAAATAAAGTACATTAGTTATGCAAATTTCGTTAATACTCTAAATTTTATAATTATTTTAGTGGAACTTACCATGTAAATTAATATATTTCCTCTTGCTAGTGATACGAATGGTTTGTAAATAGCAAAACTGTTAATACCAATGCTTTCCGCTTTGACATTGATGTCAATCAAATCAAAATCGGTTTCATTCCATTGAGAGCCAACAACGACCGGCCATTCGTATAATTTGGAGACTACACTTTTTATAACATCAATATCTTTGTATCTAATTTCGGAATCTGAGGAAACAAAAGGTTTTAGTCAGTTTATTTGATAATTAATTCATCTTGTAAATTCTCTCTTTTTACGACAGAGTCTATAAGTAAACAATTGATATCAAATTAATATTTTTGAGAATCAAGTAACTTTAAAATGATCGAAATAAAAAAAGTCATTACTGAATTGTTTGTTGAATTCATTTAAATTTTCACAAGAAGTCATGTAATTGTTTATGAAGTTGAAAGGCCTGAATGTATTGGACGAATTACTACTCTGCACTAATTCTATCAACTGGCGCTTTTGATCGGCCAATGGTGCCAAAAGATTTTGAGGAGGTGAAAGTCGTGCTCGAGATCCACTAACGTTACCAAAATTACCGCATGCGTATTCGTAGAAATCATCACAAGGATCGACATCTTGTTTAAGATTTCTCTGTATCTTTAGCTCTAAAAAATAAATCCATTTAATAGATTATCATCCTTGTGATTGACATGTTAAAAGGACATGAAGAGTTACCAAAGTCTAAGTTATCTTGTATGCATTCCTGAGTACTGCAACTGTTACAATATTTATTGAATATACATTTATTGGTATTATTCGAAGCTTCAGTTATAATAATTGAGACAATTATTGGTAGCAAGCTCAACCAGAGTTTCGTCCTGTAACAAAAATTATTCACATTTTAAATTATTCATGGAGCGTGCTATGTCACGTTGACTACTAGTTTTTTAAAAACGAATCAACTTCGATTAAATGACCTTTTTTTACATTACTGAAATCGGTTTTCAAAAAGTTTTTCAATAAATTAATCTTGTGAATACTTACATCTTGAAAATATTTACTGTAGCTCACACAAAAAAAGGGCAAAGAAAAAGAATACACAGGCACCACGTGGTTGCCTGATTATTACAACAGTCGTTTGATCTTTAGGGGTTACTTAGAAGTAGAGGTGAGTATATATAGCAGAAACAACTATGATATTGTACTTAATTTTTCAATTACACCGACAATGAAATATTGAATCATTTTTAGGATATACCACTATTCATTAAAAAAAATCCATCATTTTAATGTATTTATTGTCTGACCATTTTATATATGATAAGATAAGAAATAAATTAATTGTATGACACCATTAAAATAATCTATTGTCGATGTAGGAAGGCTATTAACAATGTATTGAAAAACGTTTGACCCTGCAGGACATCCCTAGCACTTCTCGCTATGTACGAGCTCAAAACGATCGAGAAATTATCTATTGTAAAGTTTTGAGCTCCTCGAGCTCATAAAAACAACTTCTGTACTTTTTCGAACTCTTCGAGCTCGATAATCTAGTGGTTATTGTATAATAAACCGATAATTGATCAGATTAATACTAAAAAATTGTTGAGAAGGAAAAAAATACTAATGTAGAGAAAGTCATTCTTATTTATTTAAAGAGCTTTATTTTTAAAAGAAGTTACATTTTTTTACGGGGTTCATTTTAGATCCCAGCGGGCAATTAAAGTCAGTTGCGAAATCTAAGCTGTTCGAAAATGACCCTATGATACGCTTATCCTTCGGAGAATGACTTTTATCGGATGTTGAGGCAAATTTAGATTGATAATCGCAATAAAAGTTAGCGTGGGATAACCAAAATAGTTGATTCGCATCGAATTTGGAGCTCGAATAAATTGATTCCTTTCCGTGTTTCTTGACCCAATCTTGGTAGGTGGAGTAACTTATTTTGATGCCAATATTGTCGGCGATGTTTTCATCCAAAAGTAATTGACCATCAAGCTGCGGGAAAAAAAAAATTAGATATAACATTAGAATCAAATTAATTAACAGCTATTGTTTTAACAACATATAGTCATACTGTTTCGTTGGTCGTTGCATAAGTATAGTTATTGAACTGCTCAATTAGACACGTTTCCACTTCCTGGTATTTTTGATTAGTCAATTGACCCCAATTGTTCTCTCTCATATAGTACTTATTATCCAATTTGTAACGATTGTCAACAACGTGTCCTAGTTCATGAGCAATAAGATGTCCAAAATTAGCGTAATTAATGAAGTTTGGACGATTGGTACTGAAATAAAAGTATTTCAGGGCTCCAATATCTAGAACTTGATTTGAGAAGAAATTTTAATATCATTTTTGAAAAGAAAGAGAATCAAAATTAAAAAAAGTTTTTTTTTTTTTGGTTACCAATTCGACCAGAATATGCTTCATTGTAACCGTCGATAGAAAGAAACTCAAATAATTTAAACGCGAATGTAGAGTCCCTTTGGTTTTCCGGTTTTTGTGTTTCACTAACTAACTTTCGTTCATAGAATACACTGACGTTCAAAAAATTCATAAGATAATTATCAGGGGTAATTTGAAGCCCTTGATAGAATTCTTCAAATTTTTTGTCATCTAACATTGTGCCAGTCGCTCCAAAAATAAAATCAACTAACTGTAAATACTGAATTATATCATTTTTAGCTTTAAAATCCAGCCAACTTGTATGGTTTACGGTATCAATCAAAACTTGTTTTACATTCAAAGCTATCTCGTAAGCGCTGTTTTTAACGCGCTCTTCAACTCCGGAATGCCGTACCCAATAGGAAGCCAACAGTTCGGGTAAATATAAAAATAATTCATCGATACAATCTTTCTCATCTAACTTTTCAACTAAGTATTCGACTGTCTTCCATATAATATAATTAGCTTGTACTCTTTTCGGAGTTTCATTGATTAATCTTTCTAATTTGGTAATGTAATCGGGGTTAGTTATTATCACTACTGATTCGTTGGTAAAATGGTGTTGCTCAAATATTTTCATCCATTTTATAGTTGGCCACTTTTCGATTGCTGCTTTAATTGTTATTGCATTATTGTTATTTGTGCTGTTGAGTGGAGGTGAGTGATTCTTAACGCTTGCATCGTAGAGTTTCCGTTCGAATTCTAAAGACTCTATAAATTCTACTCTAGCCTGTGACTCATTTACTCCGAAAAGTCTAGCAACACTGACCATATACTCGATTTCAGAGTTTATTGAACTCGAATACGAAGGATTTGTTGCATTTAAACTTGGGAAATCCAATTTCGCTGGACTCAACTGATTCATAAAATAAAGTACATTAGTTATGCAAATTTCGTTAATACTCTAAATTTTATAATTATTTTAGTGGAACTTACCATGTAAATTAATATATTTCCTCTTGCTAGTGATACGAATGGTTTGTAAATAGCAAAACTGTTAATACCAATGCTTTCCGCTTTGACATTGATGTCAATCAAATCAAAATCGGTTTCATTCCATTGAGAGCCAACAACGACCGGCCATTCGTATAATTTGGAGACTACACTTTTTATAACATCAATATCTTTGTATCTAATTTCGGAATCTGAGGAAACAAAAGGTTTTAGTCAGTTTATTTGATAATTAATTCATCTTGTAAATTCTCTCTTTTTACGACAGAGTCTATAAGTAAACAATTGATATCAAATTAATATTTTTGAGAATCAAGTAACTTTAAAATGATCGAAATAAAAAAAGTCATTACTGAATTGTTTGTTGAATTCATTTAAATTTTCACAAGAAGTCATGTAATTGTTTATGAAGTTGAAAGGCCTGAATGTATTGGACGAATTACTACTCTGCACTAATTCTATCAACTGGCGCTTTTGATCGGCCAATGGTGCGAAAAGATTTTGAGGAGGTGAAAGTTGTGCTCGAAATCCACTAACGTTACCAAAATTACCGCATGCGTATTCGTAGAAATCATCACAAGGGTCTACATCTTCTTTAAGATTTCTTACTATATTTATCTCTAAGAAAATAAATCCATTTAATAGATCATCATCATTGTGATTAAAATGTTAAAAGGACATGAAGAGTTACCAAATTCTAAGTTATCTAGTAAGCATTCCTGAGTACTGCAATTGTTACAATATTTGTTGAATATACATTTATCGGTATTAGTCGAAGCTTCAGTTATTATAATTGAGACAATTATTGCTAGCAAGCTCAACCAGAGTTTCGTCCTGTAACAAAAAAATTATTCATAGAGCGTACTGAGCCACTTTGATCACTAGTTTTTTAAAAACGAATCAACTTCGATTAAATGACCTTTTTTTACATTACTGAAATCGGTTTTCAAAAAGTTTTTCAATAAATTAATCTTGTGAATACTTACATCTTGAAAATATTTACTGTAGCTCACACAAAAAAAGGGCAAACAGAAATTATATATACACAGGCACCACGTGGTTGCCTGATTATTACAACAGTCGTTTGATTTTTAGAGGTTACTTAGAGGTAGAGGTGAGTATAGCGGAAACAACTATGATATTGTACTTAATTTTTCAATCACACCGACAATGAAATATTGTATCATTTTTAGGAAATATCACTATTCATTAAAAAAATCCATCATTTTAATGTCTTTATTGTTAGACTATTTTATATATGATAAGATAAGAAATAAATGAATTGTATGACACCATTAAAGTAATCTCTTGTCGTAGTAGGAAAGCTATCAACAATGTGATGTATTCGATTAATCTTAATTGATGTACTGAAAAAAACCGAAAAATGTTTGAGCCTGTAGGCTATCTCTGGCACTTCCCGCTATGTATGAGCTCAAAACGATCGAGAAATGAAGCACCCAAAGAAAACCAACCTGAAATTTGTATTTCGCTGTAATATTTCGGGTTTAAATTAATATTATCTGATATTTTAAAATTGTTTATTTTTAAACAGAACGAATCAACCGAATATTTTTATATACTCACACTTGATTATCACTCAATCATTTCAGCATTTACATTTTATGTAAATTTAATAAACCAAGACAACCGATTAAAATATTAATTAATTCTGGTTTATAGGTCCAAGGGATATTAAAATATAATATAAATACAGAGGTGAATTTTGTAAAATTCTGTGGGCTCATATTATATAAATAAATGAATATTGATATATGTATACATAGAAGAGTGTTATCCCCAATAGCACGTCCTTGTTGAGCATCCACGCGTTCATTCTTCTTCCTTCATTTTAATTGGCAGCTGCTGCCAATCACCAACCATACATATACTCTTTATATACACTCGACATTCCCTTCATATTACTAAAAGCAATAATTCAACGAAATACACCACTAGCTAAATTAAAAGTTAATTGAATTTATAAATCGAAATTCTGGCTTTACTGTGCGAATCACTGATTTTGACGAAATATCTCTATTTTTTTTTTTTTTTCTTAATTTGTTTAAAGTCGCATAAACTACTAAGGTCATGAGTGACTACGGTAGGGGGTAAACTTTTGAGATTGGAACTCGTTTTATTTCTTGGGCTGAGCAGTATAATACACTTAAATATTGAAAATATTCATTGGTGTACGCCGAACTCGAACCCGGTCCAATGCTTTGGTAAGCAAGGGCCGGATCCGATCGGCTACTGCGCGCCTGAAATATCTCTAACATAAATTTAAAGGAAGGAATAAATTAAAAAAAAAAAAAAATGTTGTCATAAGGAAAGTCAGGAATATCTTGCTTTAAATGAAAAATTGCAACCTTATTTTTGCCACGACAAATTGTTTTTTTTTTTAATTTTTCTTTACATATTTATGCTTGTCTCGTGTACTTATTTCACTTGTTCATATAAGTACATAAGTACTCCATCCAACAACTAGGACATTATTTCGAACGTGCTAACCGCCTGAATACCTCTAGATTACATTTACAATTTCCCTCCTGTTTTTCCTTTTCTTCAGTCTCCAGTATCTATGTTCTGTCCTTCACTATTGCACTTGTTAAACTCATCGTTGAATTTATGGCACCAGTGAGTGCAGTTTCCAGTTGTCTCTGACATATGTATGTATGTCAACGGGCTATGAGAACGACCGTTAACCCGAAACTCGAGTGGACAGAATGTCTAAAATGTCCTTATTTTCAATCTCTCGGTTTTTATTTATCCACCAGAAAATTTAATGCGGATATAGAATAATAATAAACTTATCTGGGTAAAAAAGCTTTAGTGAAACGTTTCATTTTTTGCATTCAAATGTTTTAATAATAATAAATATCAAGTAATACCAATGACAATGGATAAACTCGACTGATAATAATTAAACAATTAAAATTTTTTTCATACTTCATTTAAGCGATAGATCCATAGACTTTAAATAAAAAGTGAGTATTTTTTATAACATTTTATAACTTCAAAATGAGCATTAGAATTTTGTAATAGATCGCCGTAAATTTTACTTGCTTTGAAGTGTGCTATAAACTTTTATCTACGAGAAAATAGATTTTTTAAACTAAATTTGATACTACATTTGAATAGAAAATTTAAACATAAATATCCATCTGACTTTCAGTTTATCTATACCTCTAGACTAGAACTATCATAACAGGTGTTGCAAAGCGTAATGTATCCTACAGTTTCAGAAAGGGGTAGGTCTGACAATCATGATCCCACAACATTTGCTATAAGGTTTATATTACATTCACACGAGAGCTTGTGTGGTTGTTGCTCATTCAACTACGGTTTGGGGTGACATTACCCGAGCTTGTCCTCATGTGAAAGTGACATAAACTTTAAGCTCAATTTACAATGATATTTCCGTCAAATAATTCACTTGTGACTTCAAATGTATATCACAAACTAATATTTCAAGTGTTCATCTCGACATCAGTTGTGGTTTATTTGGAAGACTTTTAAAAAGACCCAGTGATACATTTATGCAACTGATAAAATTGTGTGCTTATTTTACAAGATTTTTATTTTGATCCATTATTATTATTGGGTCATACTAACAGAAAAAAATTTATTGGGTAATAACTAAAAAAATATAGAGATTCCTCCTTTCGTCCTATTAATCTTTTACGTATCATATATTTTAGTATGTTGTAAACGGATTTATACTTTAATGGTTTCTTAACGTTGCATTTATATCTTGTTTTATTTTTTTCTCATTCTGTATTTTTTATTTTTGCTACTTTCTGCTTCTGTCACCGCTTGAATTATACTTATTACCACCACGCTACGCCAACTGAGATAAGCTTTTCGTTGCGAAAATTTATTTACACACAGCAAGAAAAATGACTTGACAATCGTAGATTACACTAAAAAGCAGAAAAAAATTTCTAACTGGATATGAAATTGGATAAAAAAAATCATAAGAAATAAAAATGGTTTATTTAGAACAAGCCGGAGCATAAAATAAAATTTTAATTTAATGGAGAATAATGGTTGGATGATTTTAGTAGCCAATTAGTAACTGTAACTATACCCAGTTTTCCCATAGAGATAGTTTATAAATATTTTATTCAAAAATATTATTTACAAAATGAAGATACAATAGTTTACGGAAGAGGTTTATTATAAAATTAAATATGTACTCTTTTACAAATTACTTCATTTGAATTATTAATAAACATAAAGCTCATTGAAATAGTCGTTAAGAGAGGATAATTTCGAGTGGGTTATATTCTCAGTTGTGTCATTGTTTATTTGTATGCTGTGGCTTTAGTTGGTATGCACGTACAGACTTTTGCGATCCTACAGCTCATTATCTATCCTCTACACTTGATCACACAGCTCCCCTTTAGTATTGAAGTTACGAATAATCCAATTAATTACCCGAATAAATTAAATTGTCACAAAATAATATCATCTATACCTTCCTTAAGGAAGAAGCTTTTGTCTTACAATTAATCTTAAGATTAATTTAATGGTAAGTAATTTAAATTACAAACAAGTTGTGTCTGACATTACCAGTAACAAATGACAAAAGACTTTATATAAATTATTGATTAAATTAATGTATTAGTTAATTGATTTGTTTATTTATTTACTCATTCATTTGGCTGATTTTCATTTAATTGGTGGATAAAACATTGACAAGGCAATTGAATTATTATTATTACTATGGGAACTCGTTGAGTTCATTGAACAATCAAGAGAGTGTCCCAATTACTCAGTCAGGCAAGGGAAATATTCCCAGTTGTACAATAAATGTAAATTGCTGAAGTAACATCAAAGCACCCAGTCAGTGTACCAAGAATACGCTTTATATAAAATTAAGTAGTGAATACAATTCAAAGTATTCATTCAAATCGATTGTTACATAAAAGCTATTCTTATTATTTTACAATTTTTGCTACTGTGATATTAATTTGCTTTTTTATTGACTCAATTTTTCAATATTAAACTAAATGATAATTGTTTGGAAAATTTTTTATCGACATTCCAATTATGTTTGATCAAAAGTTATCCATGTAGCAATTTTTTAAATATTACTCCTAATTATAACCTTATCGAAATTTTTATATTGAGGCTAGTTTCAAAAAATTCCGACAGGTGTCGCAGAGTTGCAAAATTCTTCCGCTGGAGAAAAGTTCAGGTAAATGCAATAGGTTCCAATGAATAGTAACATTTTTATATATTTACACAGTAACATTTACAGAATTTTTGCAGATTTTTAAATTATTAAAGACAAGATTCTAGCTAATATACTTATTGGAATTTGAGGCTGGAAGATTGAGATAATATAATATATAGGATTTATGAAGGAAAAATATTATGGCACTTTATTGTCTTTATTAATAATAAACTACTCTAGAATACACAAACAAATACATTTAAGATTTAAGTAGTGTAGGTACTCGATAATATTATAACACAAAGGTGGACCGTTCGTCACGGGAGTTCAGTTGACACTAACTATGACCGCTGGCAACCCAAAAGTACCGACAGTACCTCAGGTCATAAAATTGACCCTTCCTTGCATCCAAAATATAATATGTCCTGACATCATTGCATCTACAGTATCGTTGCTATTTTCAACAATACTAACTTGAACCCGTTATTACTTTTCAAGCTCGATACTAGCAATAGCTTAACTGCTGACCTGGGAGATCGGTCTCTTCTCAATGTTTCTCTAGGTTTATGACCTATCATAAATTTTAACTGAGTTCCTAAAGAGACTCCTCAAGTCTATCACACGATTTTATTCCATCTAACGATCTACTCAATCTTTAAGTAGGATTATTTTATAGTTAGAACTATTTCTAAATTTAATATTTTCTCTTCCGAAAACCAATAGAGATAGTGAATAAGGCTCTTGAAGCTTTGTATTCCAGTAGCTTATCTTTGAAATATCATTAAAATATCTTTTCAAAGCCATTCACTCCTTATTTACCTTCACTATAAAATTTCCCTTTATTCTCCAAATGAATAATTAATAAGAACTTTATTCTTTATAGTATAAATAAATCTTGTTAAATGAAGCCGTAAAATGCAGAAAAGAAAAATTTAATTAATATCTAGAAAACTAATGAAGAAAAGTTTATCGCTGAGTAAATAATAGATATATAAATTTAAAAACAATCGCTTGGAATTATTAAACTTTTAATTAATAAAAAAAAAAAAATAAAAGTTATCAAGGACAATTTTTGATGATGATGATGATGAAAAAAAGAAGAATAAAATTTGAGTAAAGAAGCGCCTTGAGGCATGATGGTACCGTTAATAAAACTTTCCAACAACGAAACACAAGATGAAAAGGAATAAGGCTGAAAAGGAGGGTAACGAAGGGTGGATTCAGCACTTGCTATGGATTAATCGTATTTAAAGGACACACAGCCTTATACCATTAGTTGAGATCGTTAGGAAAGTTATATAATACAGAAAGCACAGTGTACCAAGCCACCAAAGCAACAATGGTAAATGCAGTTTCGTGACAGTTTGAGTATCTTCTCATCCTCATCTCCATCTGTAATTTCAGGATCCTTTTCCCTTCTTCTTTATTCATCTACAGCTCCTGTGACTATAATACCGTTCGCGTGTTTCCTATTCTGAAGCTTTGTATTCCACAATCGTACTTGCTGTCATTATCGCTAGCTCTTCTCCTATAGAGATATCTCGTGCTAGTAACTAAGGGTAACACAGTTGAATCTTATCGAGCAAGGTAACTTATTAAGGGTAAGCCGATGCGCGCCTAAACACGATTGCAACTCAAGAGAACTTTCGCACAAT